CTTACTTGTTGATGGTGGAAGTACACATAATTTCCTTCAACCTAAAGTGGTGTCTACCCTGGCACTTCCCACAACCACTGACAAGCAATTCGAAGTCATGGTGGGTAATGGCCAAAGATTGCAATGTGAAGGCTTATGTCCAGTAGTCCCAGTTAAAATACAACAACATGTTTTCTTGGTTGATTTTTATGTTCTGCCAATTCAAGGAGATGACATGGTACTTGGTGTCCAATGGTTACAAGTGTTTGGCCCTATTACATTGGATTACAAAAAACTCACAATGGAATTCATGTGGGATGGGACAGCCATCAAGCTCAAAGGAGATAATCATACAGGACCTATCTCTCTCAATCAGTTCAAAAAAATCAGCAATACAGGACAAATTGCTTCCTTGTTTCAGTTACAAATGCTGGAACCTTGCATGAGTGCAGAGTCAAAGGTCATTTTCCCTCAGGTACAACATCTTTTACATGAATTTGATGATTTGTTTCAAGAGCCTACTACTTTACCTCCCCATAGACAAATAGACCATGCAATCCATCTAGAACCAAATTCCCTACCTGTGAATGTTCGACCATATAGATATCCTCATTTTCAAAAAGAGGAAATTGAAAAACAAATAGCTCAAATGCTTGATACTGGCCTCATTAAACACAGCACCAGTCCATTTTCATCACCAGTCTTGTTAGTAAAAAAAGGATAGGACACGGAGGTTTTGTATTGATTATAGAGCCTTAAACACTATCACCATTAGAGACAGATTTCCTATTCCTACAGCCGATGAGTTAATGGATGAGCTAGGTCATTCTCAAGTTTTTTCTAAGCTGGATTTGAGGGCAGGTTACCATCAAATAAGACTCAAGCCTGATGATGTCTATAAAACAGCCTTTAGGACACATCAAGGCCATTATGCGTTTTTGGTCATGCCTTTTGGCTTGACTAATGCCCCCTCTACTTTCCAAGCTACAATGAACTTCATTCTTCAACCACTTTTGCAAAAATTTGTTGCAGTATTCTTTGATGACATACTTGTATATAGTGCTTCTTTGGATTTGCATATACATCACTTGAGGCAGGTACTAGTGGCACTGCAGCAACATCAGTTCTTTATTAAAAAGAGCAAGTGTTCATTTGCTCAAAGAGAGGTGGAATATCTTGGGCATATAGTTTCCAATCTTGGGGTCAGCATGAATTCCAATAAAATCAGGGCAATGCTTGATTGGCCTAGTCCCAAAAATGTGAAACAGTTGCGTGGTTTCTTAGGCCTTACAGGCTATTATTGAAAGTTTGTACAAAACTATGCTTCTATTGCTGCCCCATTGACAGAATTGCTCAAGAAGGATGCATTTAGCTGGTCTAATGAAGCTCAAGCAGCTTTTATGGCACTCAAAAAGGCCATGACCACTTCCCCTATGCTAGCTTTGCCAAATTTCGAACAAGATTTTATTATTGAAACAAATGCTTCAGATGTAGGAGTTAGTGCAGTGTTATTACATGGAGATCACCATTTAGCATATTTTAGCAAGAAATTAACCCTCAGAATGCAACATGCTGCAGCCTATGTCAGGGAACTTTATGCCATGACTGAAGCAGTTAAGAAGTGGAGACAATATTTGTTAGGTAGAAGGTTTTTGCTTAGGACTGACCACAAAAGCTTAAAAGCTTTATTGGACCAAGTCATTCAAACACCAGAACAACAATATTACCTAACAAAATTGTTGGGTTTTCAATATGCTATTGTCTATAAACCTGGCAAGGATAACCGAGCAGCTGATGCTCTTTCTGGACAACCAGAAATTATGAGTTTCATGGCCCTTTCCACTAATCAGTTTCACATATTGGATGACCTTAGGCACGAAAACAGGACATTCGATTTTTCTCTCCAGAAACACAATGCAGTGGGACTTGCTACTGCCTCAAACCAGGATTTGGTAATTAGAGATGGCTTGCTGTTAAAGAAGGGTAAACTGTTCTTGGATCCTGCTTCTCCTTTGGTTGGTCAAATTATGCAGGAATGTCACTCATCTTTTGTTGGTGGTCATTTGGGAATACAAAAAACTACAGCCTGTATTGCTGCTACCTTTTACTGGCCAAGTATGCATAAAGATATCAAAAAATTTGTCTATTCTTGTTTGATTTGTCAACAGGTTAAGGTACCAACACAAAAACCAGCTGGCTTACTTCAACCAATCTTAATTCCTGAGAGGATATCAGAGGATCTTTCAATGGATTTATTGTTGGCCTCCTAAATTCTTTTGGATATACTACAATCCTAGTGGTAGTGGACAGACTATCTAAGATGGCTCACTTTGGGTTATTACCTTGCAAGTACAATGCTATTAAGGTTGCTAACCTTTTTATACAGATGGTATGCAAATTGCATGGAGTACCTCGTTCTATAATTTCAGACAGGGATCCTATTTTTCTTAGCAATTTTTGGATGCAATTATGGGAGTTGAGTGGCACTAAATTGAAGAGGTCCACAGCTTATCATCTACAATCAGATGGCCAATCTGAGGTGGTCAATCGGGTTCTAGAACAATACTTGAGATGTATCACTGCTGAGTCTCCTAAACAATGGTCTAAATTTCTTCCATGGGCTGAATTATGCTATAATACTGCTACTCACTCAGCTACAGGATTGACCCATTTTAAGGTGGTTTATAGCCGTGATCCTCCTTCTCTGAAAGATTATATTCCACAGTCAGCAACTGTACCTGAAGTAGATGACATGCTTTTGGATAGACAACATCTATTACTGCAGCTTCACAGGAACTTGGAGAAGGCACAACATCAGATGAAGCTCATTGCAGATACAAAGAGAAGGGACATTCAGTTTAAACCTGGTGATTTGGTTTGGGTTAGACTCCACCCATTTCGACAGCAATCAGCAGGCCAGAGGATTTTTAATAAACTTTCCTATCGTTACTTTGGTCCATTTTCAATAGCTAAAAATTTTGGCAAGGTTGCTTATAAGCTAAATTTGCCTATAACAGCCAAAATTCATCATACCTTCCATGTGTCTCTTTTGAAACCTTTTCAAGGAGACAATGCTAATCATTCTTTTCCGTTACCTGATGCATTTACTGGTGGCCTACCCGTGTTGCAACCTAGACAAATTTTAGCTTCCAGAATTACTGATGGAGGAATTCAGGAGATACAAGTACTTTGGGAAGATTTGCCAACAAAGAGTGCAACTTGGGAAAAACTTGAAGAGTTCCAATCACAATTTCCTTCTTTTAACCATGAGGACAAGGTTGTTTTCCATGATGGAGGTATTGATACAATAGAAGGTCATGAAAGACAGTCACAAGCAGGATTGGAAGAGGCAGAAACGGGTACTTGTCCATTGCTAGAAGAAGAGTCCACTAGAGTAACTAATAGAGCTCCACGTATTAGGAGGAAGCCCTTAAGGTTTAGGGAGTCAATGTAATTAGTATCCACGTGGGTAGCACGTGTTGACATTTACTGTAGTTGAATAAAATAGGAGGGAAATTGTAAAGGAGATTCGTTCGATTGATTGCAATAAAAAAAGTATTCTGATTTCTCATCTCTTTTCTCTGAATTCTCTTCTGTTTTTTCTCTTTTTCCTCTGTTACTACAAGAACCCATATCACACTTCCTTTACCATGTGAGAATCCAACTGGTTATGAAAATTGAGGTTAGCATGATTGTGTAGGAACACAATCACTACAATAAACTGAATCTATTGTTCTATTTTGGTACTTTATTTCTTTTCTATAAAGATGATAGATGAGGTTTTTGACCTTCTATTTAGGTCGTATATGATTTGGTATTCCACTTCAACTTCATTCTAGCCTTTCAATGAAGAGTTTGTCCCTTAGCTCTACAAGTTTGAATATTAGTTACTTGACTGATTAGACTTTTGGGTAGCAAGACATCACATTCTCTTTCAAAAGATTTAAGCAAGTATAAATATGTGATCAAAAGGATCATCTCATACGATAGTTAACATGATCTGATCACGTCATGTGAGAAAATCCTATCTATTCGTTGACAAATCAAAGGTTATGCAGATGAGAGAAAAAAAATATTAAAATAGAAAATAATAAGATTATCACCGTTGATTTACCCATAAATGGTTAGGATCCTCCCACATAATATGATTATGTTAACTAACACATAAGAGGATCCACTCCCTCGAAAGATAGATATTTTCATTTATTTGAAAAACACACCATACTACAATTTTAAATTGGTAGAAAACATAACTACCTTAGATTAGTGAGAAATTTTACATGATATGCTGTGCCTGAAAGTATCCGTATGCATCAAACACAAAAAGCATATGAAAAAAGTTCCATGTGATCTGGCAAACTATTTCATATTACACTTACACATTAAATTGATGAAGAGAAGCAGACCCATTTGGATGAGCTTCCAAAAAAAAATATTTTTTATACCTTACTTATTTTAAAAATACTTTTTGTAAAAGGTAAAGCTATTTAGATTTTAAAAAAAGAATTTGATTTATGAAAAAAAATATTTGATTTTTAACTACTGCTTTTTTTAGAAGCTAGAATTTTTAACTTCCAAAAAAAAGCAGGCTTTTAACTTTTTTTATTTTTTCTGTTTTTTTGAAAAGCAAGCATCCAAACAAACTTATTTTTTATGAGAAATGATTTTTTTTCAAAAAAAAAAATGCTTTTGGAGAAAAAAAAAAACTCATTCAAACGAACCCCGAAATTCCAACATTGAGAGAAATACACAGCTCAAAACAAATTGGAATCTACAACATTTACTTCAGTAATTTTGTTCAGAATCAGAATCTTTTCAATAACATTATTTCGTAGATTTAATGAACATATAAAGAGGGGAAAAAAAAACTAAAAAGAATAACTAAGGAAGTATTTCACAATTGAAAAAAGGCAGGAGTTTTCCCGCCCCAGATTGGAACTATGTTAAATGTATAAACATTTGATATCAAAACTAAATATAAAAATAATAATAATAAAAAACTCACTATTAAACCTGACCAGTGAGGGTGAGATAAGGACAATCCTTATATGCACACATATACTTCTAAATTTGAAAAGAGAGCATTTCTCGGATTCAAAGCCGAGACATTTCGATCACAAAGGAACAATTTTACACAATTTTAGCATTGCTCTATACTCTCGCTTGTTAGCAAATAATTCTTGTGGCACCAAACACAGCAGCAAACAGTGAGAAGTTATAATCATTTAGAGACCAAAATTGCAAGCCTGAACGAACTCTAATTCATAATCAACAAACTTTGTCCAAAGTGGTTTGAATTGAGTCAATGCAATGTCAAGCCATGGCTTCATGTTACCATTGAAGTGCACCACTGCTGCATTCTCTATCTCATCCATGCTGATGCTTGGGTTATAGCCAAGCCCCAAAACATGCCATGACTTATCTAAGGGCTTTGTTGTTGAGTAAAATGTAATTAGACCTGGTGGCAATGTCCCCAATTTCCACAAGGTTCGGTTCTCATTCTGCAGCAGCATAAGCATGTCCAGTTAAATATTATAGATAGTATGAGACAGGATTATAATTCAGAAGGATTGCAAACAAAAGTATTGATGAGAATGAGACCAAAACATAACTAGTATCAAATAGTTTTATGTATTATTAGTACTAAATATTGATTGAGAATGCAAAAAAATAAAACTGTTGAGTACTAAAACTTGAAAGTAACAGCTTCAAGTCTTACCAGATTCTGCCAGTAATGATACTCTTCTGTGCATTTCTCTCTTCTCCAAGCATCCAAATCAAAAAAATTCATTCCGTAAGCCCAAGCACATGCCTTTGGACTAAATTTTGCTTTAATCAAGGGATGTGAGAAATTCATGTATTGTGCATATCTATGGAATGATCCAAAACATGTTTCTACAGCTCCATTCACCTTGCCATCCATATCAATCTTCCATAACCCAGTAAGGTCCTTCTGAACCACTATGTCATCATCCAAAAACAAAATTTTATGAAGCTTTGGATACATTTCTGGCAAGTAGAATCTCAAATGATTTAATATTGACAAATATTTTGGATTCCTAAACTTCATATTTGTTGTGTCCTTTGTGGCATTCTCAAGCTTGTTTTCAAAGTAAAATCTCTGTAGGTTAGCAGACTCCAATTGTCGAAGCACCGGAACATATGAAGAATTTAGGAACTTGTAATTCTCAACTGCCTTAACCTCAATGTGAGCTCCATTATAATCCTTCAACTTAAACATCACTTGCATTGCACCAAGATTCATCTTATCTGTGACAACATGAAACACATGCTTCCATGGTTCCTTTGCATTCTTTGTTGCAGAATTGACCACCACAGATGCAGCAATAACATTATCTGAGAATATGGCATAGTGGTACAAGTTAGGATCTTCAAATTCCGGAGCAGTAGGCTTTTCCTCATCTGAATATTTCTCTGGATGTGCAATCCTTTCCTCCATCAACCGCATCGCAAGACAATACAAGCTCTTTGGGATTGATTTGGCTGCAATCAAGCTGGAGAAAGCACCCTGCTTCTTTGCCTTGGTCAATTGCTCATTCACGGCAAAAATCGTGTCCTTCAGTTTCTGAATCTTGAGCTGATTATCAAAGGACTCTTTGGCCTCACCAATCACTTGGCGCAAGACCTTAATTCGCTCCTTCACTTCCTTTTCCAATTGGCGAAGCAGTAATTCATCAACTGGGGTTTCATCAGAGCTGAAAAGAGCCTTGTATTGGGGTTTGCTCATTAGAGATGAGAAGTCCCTTGAGAGTTCAGAAAAAACCCTAACAAGCTTGGAGCCCTCAAGCTTGAGCTTCCTTGCATACGATGCATATACCAGAGCCACAGAGCGATGACCTTCAACATGCTTTCGTATCTGATCCAACCTTGGCCTCAGAGGATCAGTTTCCAGAGAAAGCATGGATCTACTAATTGGTTCAAATCCATGTGCATCTCCATCATAACCCTAGCTCAGAATCAAGACAATAGATTAATCAAATCTCTTTCAATTCACATAAATACAAACTGTCCCTTTCCAGTAAGATTTCTAGTCAGATTTTCATAGTGTTTCTCCTAGAAAATAGCATAACAACAAATTAATCTGGTTCTGCCGTGGCTTCCTTACATTACTCTAATCTCTTTTATTTCCTAAAAAAAAAAAAAATAGTAAAAAAAAAAAAAAAAAAAACCTTTTTAGTAGTATTTTCACTCGAATTTTCTGTTTGTTTCCCGAGAAAATAACAAACATTAAATAAGCACTGAATCCAGCGGGAGTCTGATCCTCACCCCACTTGAACCCAGATACCAAGATCCCTTTTTTTCTTTGAATTACATATACCCAGAAACAAAAACAAACATATATCACGAAAATTCTCTGTTTACTCGGAAAACAAAGAAAAAAGTATTTGTTTCTCGCGAAAATTACCATGAAAAGAAAATCAAGCAAAAAAAGATATATTAACAAAAGCTGAGAATGTGAAATTAGAGTGAAAAATGAAGCTTACGATGTTGTGGTGACCAGTGGTGTAGGAATGGGTGGTGAAGAGAAAACAGAAAGTGAAGAAAATGCAGAGAACAATGGAAATGGCAGAGGCCACGATTCTGAACGATAACCCGAAGCCTCTGTTCCCTCTGGTGCCAAAGCGCGCGTTTCGAGAGTTCACCATTTTTGGATTCGTGTGAACAATGGGATTCAAAGGAAGAAGAACAATACGAAGCACTCACTCTCACTGGGAAAATCATGCACACAGATTTTCTTTCTTTTTCTCACTGTTTTTGCGGAGAAAAAGATGATTATTAACGTACTTATATATTATATTAGATTAGTTACAATCTTTGAGAAAATTAATAAAAAGTGATTGTTTTTCAAAAACAATCAATTGCTAGGTATACGTATATTGTTTGTTCGGGGGTCTATCTTGAGAATATTTATATTTTGAAAAAAAAAAATTTGTTGTGGAAAAGTCTATCTTGTTCGGTTTAAATTTAAAATTCCAGCCATCGAATCAAATCGTGATCAGAAGATGTAAAATAAGCTTAAGCCGGCATTGAATATTCTTTTTTATACTTCACCATAATTATTTCTTTAGATCAATCCGCGTTGAATTTTATTAATATGATATTAAATTGAATGATTTTATTAATAAATTAAGTTTTAAAATTATATGCAACTAAACGATGAATGTATATTTCATCACATCACATAATATTAAATTTCAATGTCATCATTATACAAAAAATACTTATTAACCTTATTCATATAATCAACGTGGGACTCAAGTCTCATGCCTTATAATTTGATACGAATTTTGGGAGAGTTTTTATATAAACCCTACACTAGTCACTCATATCTTCTTTCTAAAGAGATTAGGAACTATGATATGTCCAAGGTCCAATATGAATTTTTTTTGAGAGATTTTCCTTGACTTTGACTTTGCCCGTGTCAACAAACAATTCGAAATGACTCGACTTTTTTAGAATAAGTCTGAGTCAAATAGCAATGATTCGAAGCACTTTACACTATTTCAAAAACTCAATGACTCAATCGTATCGATATGTAAAATACAGGATTTTCAATCCTAGCAGGAAGGGGGTGGATACTCAATTTCAAGTGAGTAAACAGAATTCTATACTTGATCTCATAGATAAATATCGAATTCTGTTGAAAACCATATTTGATGAAAGTTATATGTATAGCTTAGAGGGAGATCTTTCAAATCTTTCGAGATCCACCCTACAATATGGAGCCAAAAAGCCAAAAAAAAAAAGATCTTTTAGCCCCTGTAAGTTAAAAAAAATGAATTCTCCCTTTCACGCTCATGTCACGGCAAGGTGCTATAGAACAAAAAATCGCAAAATCTGATCCAATTTATTGTAATCGATTAGTTAACATGTTGGTTAACCGTATTCTGAAACACGAAAAAAATTATTGGCTTATCAAATTATCTATCGAGCTACGAAAAAGATTCAACAAAAGACAGAAACAAATCCACTATCTGTTTTACGTCTAATGTGAGACTCAAATCCTATATCTTGCAATTAGATTGTAACATCATATCCCTTCGAACTTTTCCCCTCCTGACCTCTATGACATTCACTAAATTTTGACACAAAATTATTTGTTATGCATCAATCACAAATAATAAATAAGGCAAAAATTTAGAGCTAACCTGCATGAACTTTTCCCCGCCTGCATGGACTGTGATAAAACATGAACAATATAGCTCAAATCAGGCCTGGTGATGGTCAAATATATAAGTTTACCAATAAGCCGTCGATAACGTTCTGGTTGGTCAAATAAGGGTCCATCATCAAGAGCTAACCTATGATTTTGTTCCATGGAAGTAACTGTTGGTTTGCTCCCACTCAAGCCTGCCTCGGCGAGAATGCTTAATGCGTACTTTCAGTGACACAAGAAAATACCCTCTTGACTCCAGGCAACCTCTATTCCTAGAAAATACTTCAGTGGTCCCAGATCCTTGATCTTGAAGCAAGTGTTAAGATAATTTTTCACCTGCATAAAAGTTGCGGTATTGTTCCCAGCTAAGATTATGTCATCCATATACACCAAAAGAGCTAAGAATACATCACAACGAGAAAAGGAAAACAATGTATAATCAGCCTTGGAATCTTTAAATCCATATTCGAGCAACGAAGAACGGAGCTTAGAAAACCAATTGTGTGGTGATTGTTTTAAACCATATAACGACTTTTGAAGACGACACACTGATGAGAAGAGCCAGTGGATGGCCGAAAACCTAGAGGAAAGCGCATATAGACTTTTTCCTCCAAATCTACATTTAAAAATGCATTGTGTACATCTAACTGATGCACCTCCCATTTCTTCGCAGAAGCAACAGCAAGCAACGTTCGCACACTAACCATTTTGGCAACGAGCGTAAATGTTTCACCATAATCTTCTCCTTCAACCTGTCTATTTCTTGCAATAACAAGACGAGCCTTGTATCGCTCGATCGAATCATCTGCATTATACTTTATTTTGAAAACCCATTTACTGGGCAAGGCATGATTTCCTAGAAGAAGGTCTGTGATACGCCATGTATTGGTTTCCTCATGTGCTGAGATCTCCTTTCTCATTGCATCAATCCACCTGATATTCATCATTGCTTCACGAAAATTTGTTGGCTCTTATCCTGCATCAATAGGGGCTAAAAATGCTCGATGTTTAGGAGAAATTTTATCAAAATCAAAGTTTGGCTCTACACGCATTGATCTCCATCAACATGCGGAGCAGTTGACGATTGTCATGGAATCTAGACTAACAACCATGCTAGAGAATCGCTTAAGTGTGATGGATACTAGTGAGAATTTACACCAATGAGAATTTACCTCTGATTGAAAGACTTTAGGTAGGGTGAATAACACGGATTCCATTGTTAATAATACAATTAGTAGTGTAGTTTGTTGTGATATAGCTGAAAGAATTAGTTACGTAGTCTATCTTCAATTATGAGTAATTCAGTTGTTGTATAGGAGTTGCATTTACTTGGTGAACAGGTTGTATATAAGCTTCGTACAAAGGATGCTAATGGCATGAAACGAATAATTATATTACATCTTGCATATGGGAGTTTGCGTCTCTCTCCCTTTGTGTGTTCATACCCCAACCCGTATCACATACCAATTTGGTGAAATGTCGATATTTCCTTTTAGGAAGTGTTGCGACATCCTAATTTACTTAGTGACTTACGTAGTTTACTTTCTAGCCATCAAGAAACCATTAGTTACATTCTAATATGTTTAGAGTGTAACTATTATTACAAGATTCAGATTCGTACTAAATGCTTAATTCCATTAGCTAGGAAACTATCATACTAAAACAAAAAGAAAAAAGAAATGGGCCCTTACTAACCCGTGTAGTGTATCTAGCCATTTTGTCATGCGGTAACGCCTTATTTACTCTACGCATATAGGATTTCCAAAAGAAAGAGGATGAACGTACGCAAAATCAACCCAATTAATCAGCCATTATTATTCAAATTATAAGAGCAAATATAGGCAAAGAAGACAACTTCCTAATTTCCTTCAACACTAATCACCATTATACTCGTGATGATATAGATTGACTCATCCAAATCTAGTGTTGTTACCCATATATCATCAACAATTCCTCTAATCATTATTCAAGACATTTAGAAACATCACAAACATAATGAGAAATATTTCCTGGTGACAATAACAGCTAATAAAAACATAATTTGAAAGCAATAAGAATCTCAAGATCAACTAAGCAAGTGATTTAATATAACATAGAAATAGTATTTCATCATATGCAATATTCATCATTGCCAATAACTTTATCATGAACCACGCAAAATATATAGGAAGGAGATTGTAATATGTAAATGGAATATAGGAAGGAGATTGTAATATGTAAATGGAAAAACCCAGTGCACAAGACTCATTGATCACTTGCAAGAATAGAGATGTAATCTTACCTTTATATTTTTACAAAAAAACTAATTTTTAAACATGAACCATGATCTTCCGATCACAAAAATACAACCTGCTCCAACTCTCAAAGGAGATTGAATTATGTATTTAACAATCTCAAAATTTACTGTAAAAATACATATCTAACTCAACATCTTCTCAAATATAAGAATATGGGTTTAAGTAGATTCAAGAACATAGAAAACGGATGATAATTAGATTGAACTATGTGAATCTTCTCAACTATGTCAACACCAGTTATCAATTCTAAATTAACACAAGCTAATAATTTTTATCTTTAAAAGATGTTTAAAGTGATAAGGAACCGATAGTGAAGAGTAAATAACTAGCAAGAAGAGTTAAGAGAGGAAAAACACTATGATATAATCCGGTTCACCCCAAAGCCATATGGGCTACCTGAAATCTTCAACAAATCTACAAAGAGTTCATAATATTGACAATTCTTTTGAGTTTCAAGTTTCTCCATGCTTTAGAGTACAAATATTATTTCATAGTGAAGCCTCTTCATGTTTCAAATATTCACCAATTATGTGACTAGTACAATCCACTAGCTCACAATTACAAAACTCTCTCAAGGTTCAAGTGTTAAAATGGGAAATAATAGTTGGGTTGCTTTTGAAATCTCTCCTATGGAGTGTATAAACACATATTACAAACCTCCTGCTCGTGATGCACACAATGTCTCTATGTCTCTATGCCCAATGTCTCAATGTCTCTATAGATACTCCTATGGCTGTTATGAAAGAGCAGCTGGAGATTTTGATGGCTCATGTCTCTATGCCCACTGTTACACCTCCTGCTCGTGAGGCACACAATGAAGTTTAAGTTGGTGATGATGCGAAAGATGATGTCTATGATGCTTAGTTACAAAAAAGATAATTGATAGTTATTTTATGATCTTTTAATACATTTTGTGAACAATACTTATTAGTTGATATTGTAGTTTGATACATTTGTTATTTTTGCTTTTATGATACTTTTTATCATTAAGATTTTTTAGCTATTTGATTATGACTATGATGGCTTGCATGGTTATAATTATTATAAGTTTCAAACCAGCTTTGATTGGTTATATGACTTTGATGATTTATATTATGACGATTATCACGTATAAATTTTGTTAAAAAAAATTCGAGATATTTTATTAAATATATTTTGAAAGTAGGGATGGAATTAGGGACGAAAAAATTCCGTCCATAATATTTTGAAAGTAGGGATAAGATTATGGATGGACAAAATCCGTCCCTAATAGGGACGGACAAAATCCGTCCCTAATAAGGACGTATAAAATCCTTTCCTGATTTCGTCCCTATTAGGGACGGATTCCTACCTTTTGCAACTCTCAATTTTTGACAATATTAGGGACAGAAAACACATGTCAGGGACGGATTTTATTCCGTCCCTATTAGGGACGAAATTAAAGTTACGTCCCAAAACATTAGCGAGGAGTGATTTAGGGATGAAATTTGTTCTGTCTCAAATTCCGTCCCTAAATAATTTAGGGACGGATTTATGACTTTTAGGGACGAAATTTGTCCGTCCCTAATACCAGTTTTTTTAGTAGTGACGCCTACAAAAGTTTTTTAATTTTTAATTTTATTTTTACAGAAGCTATAGGTACGCAAGGTAAAGAACATGACGAGTACATTGCAAAAGACCAACACTATTATATTGCTTTTTTTTTTTTATTCTTCATCTCTCAAAGCAATTAGAAAAAATATATATCTTCCTCACATTTTTGTCTGTTTTGAAAAGCAATAGATACTCTGTCACATTATCTACAAATTGCAGAGGGTATAATAGTAAGGAGCTTATTTTCTGTGCTCCTTTGTCAAAATAGCAAAAATATGGAATACAAGGGAAAATAATTATAAAAGTAAGAATAGTATAAGTGTTATTTTTTTTATCATTTTTAATAAATGATGTATTGTGTATTCGGTAGAATAAGAGTATTGAAAATATTTTCATTAGTAAGTCCAGTCTCTTTCTAACAGTCTGCAAGGGACTCATGCGCCAAAAAATAAAATAAAATATTACTATTTTAATAAATAATTACGAATACATAACTGTTTCAAAATTATTTACGGATCTATTACACTCATTTACGCTCAAATTAGGCGTGACTATTCACGTCCAAATTAGGCGTGACTCCCAAGGCATTCCCGCTTAATTTAGGCGTGAATCATCTGGTGTTGACACGTGGCAAAAAAAGTCAACTTACGAACCGTAAAATTTTGAAAAGCCATAACTTTTGACAAGGGTATCCGAATGAGGTAATTCTTTTTTTGATTCCACATAACTTTTCGAGATCTACGCAATGACATCTCATTTGATATATTTTATCTCTCACAAACACAATTCAAATTTGCAATAATTGTATTATATAGTGTATTACCAAAAAAAATTAAAAAATTATTATTAATAAGAAAAACAAAATAAAGATTTAATTTGTGATTTAAACTCAAAAAAAAATTTAAAAAATCTGTATTAATAAAGAAAATAATTAAATAAATATTCTAAACACTTGGTAGAATATTATATAAATTTGTATATATTTTAATAATTAAATAAATAACCTTGTACACTATTTTTTTCAAATACTTGGTAGAAGTATATATTTTAATATGACATTAAGTATCCTTATTTATAGATGAGTTAATCCACTTTGGTGCCATCTTTATAGTATCGTTGTTGTAAATTTGAATTGTGTTTGTGAGAGATAAAATATATCAAATGAGATGTCATTGAGTAGATCTCGAAAATTTATGTGGAATCAAAAAAAGAATTACCTCATTCGGATACCCAAGTCAAAAGTTATGGTCTTATAAAGTTTTAGGGTTAAACTATTAATTTTTTGTGCGTGTCAACACCAGACGAGTCACACCTAATTTAGGTCTGAATGCCTTGGGAGTCACGCTTAACTTAGACGTGAACAGTCACGCCTAATTTGAACGTGAATAAATGCAATAGATTCGTAGATAGTTTTGAAACAATTATATATTCATAATTATTTATTAAAATAATAATATTTTAATTTTTTTTTGCCGTACTCATGTGTTTCCATCTTTCCTTGATTGACTATAGTGACACGTTTAAATTGACTTTTCTCAAGTGATTTAGTGTCTGCGTTGACTCTTTTCGTCTTCTAGCAACTTTTCTAATTATTATATAGTCAAAATTACTATTAATTAAATTTCAATATTTAATCTCTTTTTTTTAAAAAAAAATTCACGTTTTTTCTGTTCTCTGTTTCTCTCAAGTCCGTTCTACCTTAATGTGGTGTTTGGTTTGGAGCTTTTCAAGAGATATCTATGTTTTTCAAGTATGGTTTTTAGAAACACCATGTTTGTTTCAACATATTTTCATCAAAAATTCATCTATCCAATTTGTATGGATCTATGATAAACATATATATCCTCACTGTTTAGAAACCCAGTTTGAAGGTGAGATTTTTTGAAAAACCAGTTATCTCACTTTTAATGCACTATTGATTTTATAAAAGTTACCTAATTTTTCTAATAAAATTTTTTCCCGCCAAACAACTTTTTTTTACATTTTTCTACCTATCTCACTTTATCTCACTTTCCAATCATTTCTCTATCAATTACATTTTCCTATTATTTCAAAAAAAATTTCACAATCAAACGCCCCCCCTAAACGTTGCTTTCACCCATATCACTATGAATGCTTTGGTTCGTAAGTGTTGACTTTTTGTTTAATAAATGAGGGATAATGATTCACGTGATAGTCAGTAATGACTGTTATTGACCAATTAGAGATGAATAATGATCATTGATAAATAATTTCATATTGCTGACCATTAAATTAATAACTATTACTGAGCATTCAATATATTTGATGACCATTCAAGTGATAGAAATCCAATAACTTTTATTAATCAATTAAATATGAGTGATAGCTATTGAAAAAAAACGACAAATAAAAAATATAAAGAATTAAGAACTCAGAAATAGTCAACTAATAATTAATGAATTGATTATGTTTTTTTATTTTTTTATTCCTTTAAATTTAATATTATGTTTGAATATTCCTTTGCGTCAACTTTCCCTTTAATTTAATATTAAACATTAAATTCGTAACCTCCTTGCAAAATTATTTCCATTCAATATCTTTCCAATTTCCCTTTTTTCATGGTACGTTTTGTTTTGGCTTTTGAATTTTGACGTATCTCTTTATCTCTTTTTTGACTTGGCAATGAACTCCAAACAGTTACCAATACTATCTTGATTTTTTGAATTACAAATATCTCAAAAAAGGGTAATATGGTAAAGTTTTCATGTCTCTGAATTACCTAACCCCATTGGTATTTGCATTGAATTTGAACCAAACCAAACTCTTCAGCAGACAGCAGCTACGTCCTCTCTCTCTTTAACACCTTTCTCTCTCTTTCACTCTCACGCCACCTTCTTCCACTACCCTTCCATATGATATAGTACACACAAAACACAAGGGTGTAGGAGAAAAACCCAATAGAATTCACAAGGTGTTAGATGCATAGATATCAACAAAATATGTAGAAATCCCATATATCAACCCACCACCTTTTCTAGTCATATATATAGATACATATATATCATTAACAAGACACTTTGCTTTGTCAAGAGTGGTTTCAGCAATGACTTATCTGAAGCTTTCTGTTAAGGTAACCAACCACAATGGATTCCTCTTATCAATGGCCTTCCTTTGACGGGCCCTTGTGGTCATTGTTTATTGGCATTTTGTGTTGACGGGTTTGGAATGCTAAAAAGTTTGTTTTTTGTTTTTACTTTTTTTTGGCTTTGTGGGTTTCTCTTGAATTATTGTATTGTGGCTTGTGTCAATGTGTGTGTTTTGGTTTGTGATGTGTATGGTCAATTGGGTTTGTCTTTTCTGTTTAACCCCCGCTTCCTACAAAAGGTGGTAGGTTGATGGGGTTGACTTCAACATGGAGCAGAGACATTTTGGAGTTGAGGTGCTCTTGCTGGTGAATGTTTTTTCTTTTTTCTTTTCCCTCAAATTTTAATTTCGTTTTTTTTTTATTCTTATGTGAAGTTTAGTTTGAACTTTATTTTGTCAAAATTTATTTATTTTTCTTTTGGGAAGAGTTTATTGTCGGAGTTTTTTGGTAGGTTGATGGTACTTTATGCTATGATCAAATTGGATTTCTGATTTGAATGATTCTTGATAAAGGTTTATTCTGGATAACAGTGGTTTGAATTGTATGGTGATCAAGGTTTACCTGCATTTTTATTGGTTTGTTTATGTATGGGTTTGGCCAAGGTGGTCTAAGCATGAAAGCATAATCACTTTGATTTCATTGCATATAAGACAAAGCAGGATAGACTTTTAGCTAAACCTTGCATTGGAATATCTTTCTCAATGTTTAATTAATATCTTCCTTCTTCAATGTTAGTCTTCTGTTTACTTAGACTGATGGTAAATCCATGATAATTGAATTATGCCATTATTCATTTTTACAATGTGATGCGGATTTTTGAAAATTTTTATTCGTTTATAGTTTCAACTTATTCATTTCATCTCCCTGAAAATATTATATTTGTGTTTTAGGTACTTTGCCTTCTTAGTTGAAGGGAAGTTGGTATCATAGGAAGTTAACCACAGTAGACCGGAACTAACAATGGTAAGCTTGCGAAGGCGCAGACTTTTGGGACTATGCTCAGGTGAATGTTGGATAGCATACTTTATTTAAGTTGTACTTTTATTATGGAAACAAGATAAAATCATGCTCTTGGCCTATATGAGTTGTATCTTACATTTAATTGACATTATTTACTAATTTGATTGGGCCTTTGCAGGAAACAATTCATTTGTTACCCAACTTCCTCTATACTGTGAGAATCTAAGTGGTTATGAAAAATCAAGTCAGCATGATGAACCTAAGAGTGAACAATCTATGCTTTCGGATATTGCAAGCGTTGTGGACAATGTAGGAACACAACCACTAGTGGTAAATGATTGTATACTTCTGTTTTGATGCTTTATTTCTAGTCTATATAGATGATGTTTGATGTTGGTCTTATGGATATTTATTTAAGAGTGAAAAATCAAGTGAGCATGGTGAACCTAAGAGTGAACAATCTGTGCTTTCGGATATTGCAAGCCTTGTGGACAACATAGGAACACAACCACTTCTGGTAAATGATTGTATACTTATGTTTTGATGTTTTGTTTCTGGTCTATATAGATGATAATTGATGTTGGTCTTATAGATGATATCATTTATGACATTCTCATCTAATACTTGAATCAAACTGCTGAGAATTTTAGATTGATATCCATTAACTGGTGGATCAATTAACATTTATTTAACAGATGTGTTAAGAAGTCAGAATAGATGTTTACCAAGTTCTTAAAATTAGAAAGTCCCTCCCTAGGTATTCTACCTATTATTCATATCTTAGATAGCCAGGAACTTGTACTAAGCTTTCTTGTTTAACTTTCCCAGAACACTGTTGTGAAAGACGAATCAGGATCATCAATTGTGTCTGGTTCTAGCTCGCCTAAAGAGCAGCCTAGTCAACAAAGCATAGGTTTGTTGTTTAAAAGACATATCTTTTGCTTTTTTTTCTGGTTATATCTGATTTAGTTTGTAATGACTAAAAGTAATAGGTTTTATTTCCTTACAAAAAAGCGTTCGTCAAATATATATATATTTTTTCATCTCTTTTGAGTTATCTTCTATGTTTTATCTTTAATTTAATGTATTCATTAATTCTGAATTTTATGAACTACAATTGCATACACCATAAAGAGTAGACATAATGGGAAACTCACATGACTTGAAATAACAAAAAAGAATAGAATTTGATATGGTGTAAAACTTAGATAATCTTACTGTTGTAATGAAATTGCTTCACAATAAATAGACCTGTTCAAGTCAGCTTACCCAGTCCATTTGTTGGAGCTAGTTTATAGGTCAAAGTGATCTAGTGGACAGATATTGTGTATTTTACTGTCATAAAAAACATTAAACAACACATGGAGATGGCTTCTGATAGATCCTGGTATTCCCAGTGGTATAATAGGAAAATTTTAAAGCAGAGAAAAACTAGTATCAGTCTTTTGTAATTAAAAATTGAAGAATCAGTCTTTTCTCTGATTGATCGTAACATGCTTATGTCAGAGGGAATTGTGCTACTTCTTTTCCTTATGTATCATGTATGTCCTTTTCCTAACTTGATTCAGTTTTTCCACTTGCTAATCTAATTTTTTCTTAAATTGGAGCCTACATAGTTTGACCTTGTTTGTAGATTATGTCGATTCTTATTTTTCCATATATTCAGATATAAATATCTGAACAAGCTTATTTAATCATGTTTAATTTGAAATAACAATTGCTTTATTAATTCATCATCTATTCATTCCATAATCCATACAAGACCTTTCAAGCATTAACTGTAGTGAGTATATTAACTTCACTGAAATCCATTGTTTTGGAATATCATTTTACACAAAGCCCTTGGCAAGGAATAATAATGAATGAATGATCCTCTAATGGATATCTTGTGTAGTACATTTTGCATTTGTGACCAACTGAAGCAACTGATGAATGACCTGCTGGCGTGTGACCTTTGAATTTGCGCACCCTTTCTCTTTTTCCATGTCATTGAATGTTGTTCTATGATTCTATCTAAATGCACTTAAATTTCATGGATAGGCAATACTACCTGGCACAATGCAGTGTGGCGTGGATTAATTGCCATCAATGAATTGAATGCAGAAATTTAATTTGATCATAAGCATACTGGATTTAGCAGACTTGCATTTAGAGTTTATGGAGCAGTATTGATTTTTCTGATAGCATTTTATGGCTATATTTGTTTTACTTGTTTTAACCTGCATTATTCAGGGCCTCCTATTAAACGCAAAAGGCAACGTTGGATAAAACATATGCATGGTCAAGAACTTTGCATGTTGAGAGGGGTCTATTTCAAAAATATGAAGTGGCAGGCAGCAATAAAAGTGGACAAGCAACAGATTCACCTAGGAACTTTTGGATCACAGGAAGAAGCCGCTCACTTATATGACAGGTAGTACTTTGAATTGTAGCATGTTAATACGGACAATGTTCACCTTGGATAACTCCAGATCATACAGAGTATAAGTATCTTTTACATTTGTGTTTGATAAGTTGCGAGCCTAGAACAGTTGTTAAGCTGTTCCTTTGTGACTGAAAGGTCACGGTCTCAAATTCAAGAAACAATCTCTTTGTAATTATATAAGGGTAAGGTTGCGTACTTACTTAGTAATCTCCAACTTACTTACTGAGTCCCAATAACTTTGTAATATACATTTTAGGGGTATTCATGTTTTACCGTTAGACCTTCTTGTACCATATCAATAGATTCAAGAATTACAGAATGGGGGAGATTTGGCATTGTAATAGATTTTCATGTTCTTATTCACTGTATTAACTGTGACCTAATAAGTATGTATGTTCTATTTTGTTTTAAGGGCTGCTTTCGTGATTGGAAGAGAGCCGAATTTCGAGCTTCCAGAAGAAGAGAAGGAGGAACTGCGTAAGTTCGAATGGGAAGAATTCGTGACGATGACTCGAAGAGGAATTACCAGTAGAAGTATTTATTTTTTTCTCCTTAAACTATATCATATATTTTGCAAGACTTCTTTGTACTTGAATTTTAACAGTTGTTCCATACAAAATATTATAGAGCACAAGAGAAAGCGCTGTCCAAGACTTAGGATTGAGGAACATTCATTGCAAAAGGGTGATAGTGACAGTAAGCAAGGTGTGAGTGGCTCCTCTGCTAGCGGTGACGCAGAGCAAGAAACAGCATTCTCTAGAAATATATGATTCAAGAATGAAGAGTGAGGATGAAACCTCCAGTTCTAACAGTTCAAATTATAGTTTTTTAGATCCACTTTCAATTTCAATATCCTAAGATAAGCAAAATACTAGAGCTTAACCCTATTAAGTAGTCTAGTTAGTCAAGGCACCAATTCATCAAACTAGTGCAAAGTTAATTTTTCTTCTCTGTAGTGGAAAATAAATGTGTTTGTTTATTTTTGTATGTTATATATGTACCAAAAGGTGCATGAACTTATTGTTTCTAAAAAATATTTTCAAGCAGTTAATTGTATTGCTTTTTTTTCTTCTTCTTACTATTTAGTATGTTTGCATTCTCACTATACTTACATAAGGTTTTACGTGGAAGAAATCTTTAGAATGTTGTGATCTTGGATAGATGGAAATGCAAATGATAAATATTGCTGAAAGAAAGTAAAAAATTTTGTTTCTCTAAGTTGCTTTTATAGCATAGTCCAAAGTTTTTCATGTTGCACTAATTTTTGAAAGGTGTGGATGCATTATTGTCGAAGGTTGCTGTTACGAGTTTGTTAATTTTATTATTTTCTAAATTGTTGCATCGTTTAAGTAGTAAGGGCCTGTTTGGATGATCTTTTAAAAAAATGACTTTTTATATGTTGCTTTTTTTAAAATAACTTTTTTTAAAAGGTAAAGTTATTTTACGTTTAATGTATGATCTGAAAATCACTTTTACATAAAAAAGTTGTTTGGATGTTAAAATAAAAAAAACATTTTTATATATAAAATTACAATAAAGGAGAGATAAAATAGCATAATCGTAGGATAAGGAGAAATAAAATAGATATGATAGGATAAGGTTAAAATTGTATTTTAAAAATTTATATTATCTTTTAAAAAAAAAATTATATTATCTTTTAATTTCTGCTTTTTTCAAAAGCAACTAATTACTGGCTATAAAAAAAAGCAGCATTTTAACTTTTATTTTAAATTTTGCTTTTTTAAAAAGTTGTTATTCAAACATCTAAAAATTCTCAAAAGGAATTTTTTTTTTTAAAAAAACAACTTTTTTAGGAATAAAAGTCCATCCAAATGGGCACTAAGTAGTTATCTTGTTTGTTTTATTATTTGAATTTCAACTTTGCTTAATGATAAGTCATAACTATTACTGGAGAGTCTATCTAGTATTAGTGGGTAGTTACTTTGAGCTTATATTATCTATTTAAACCTTAAGGTATTTGAATAAAGATGGTCAGATAAGAAGAAATATTTTGTGCACTTGTATGTACTTGAGGCATAATTCTCTTGGTTGAACTCAAATCCCTTATTTTCAATCAAAATAGGTTTACGTAACAGTTGTTTTACTTCATGTTTTTCGGTGAACATGACAACTTAGCGGAATTCATTGGTAACCATTTGCTGTGGTAACTCTGACTGTTTAGTAGTATTAAACTGTTACTGATTGTCGAACAATTTGTTGAGCTAATTTTAATATAGAAATATAAGCTCTATCATGGATTAAAGTCAAAATACATAATTAAAATATTCATTCATGAACAAAAATTATATAAACGACATACAAATTGATGCGATCCAATGTAAGTAGAAACCCAGGTGAAATATTTGTATATATATGAATATAAATTTACGTGAAATATCGACTAGATACACGTACGTAAAAATTCACTTAAGATATTACCAAAAAAAAAAAAATTCACTTAACAATAGGATGCACATTATAAGAAAGCGGTATACCGGAAGCAAATAAATATATGAAATAATTATGCTACTGAATCATACATGCTTATATAAACAATATATGACATGCCCCCGACTATGCATATCTTTGAGAGGGCTCCTTTAAGATGTGAAAATCATTCTTAAAAAGGCTCTCTAGGATGTGTAGATCCTCAAAATTATTCTTTAGGTGGTGAGGCATTGTTTGCACTTTTGTCTTGTTTATTGACAAGTATGACCACACAACACGATTGGAGAACCCTAATTCTCTTTTAGAATCTATTCAATATTAGTTAAGCCCTTTTGAGCTTTATTATAATTTGAGTGCACAAGTCCAACGAAGCTTCCACGATATTTTCCCCCTAATTGCCCATGTCTCATCCTGTTGAGATGGAGTCACACATGCACCAAATTAGCGGCACATATCTCTCATAAATACATAGATCAAACTCTTAGGTATGCACCTCTACAACTCTACTATTCACATCTTCCACCCCCATTTACATGTTTTCGGGTGTACGTACCCTCACTTTTTGTCCATTGAGTATAGAGAAGACTCTTCATCAATCATCACTACAAGAGAAGACTGAAGTAGAATCTTATCCAATTCAAATAACTCGGACTAAACAAGCCTAAAGTATCAAATTGAGAGGTTTAATTGAACTTGAGTCAAAATTCATTGATGAATTGAATTCATATTTCTCAATTTCTATTTTTTTTTTCATTATTTTCCAAAACTAAAAAGAAAAATAATGAATATAATGGCATTAAAAAGAAAAATAATAACTCCCTAACGTCATTCTTCTATTATTTTTATTTATTTATTTAGTTTTACATAATTATTTGTTTGTATACCTAAAACACAAAATATATTGTTATCAAAAAAAAAAAAAAAAAACACAAAATATATGAAATCACTTAAAAGTTAATAAATACCATGCAATTTTTTTCCATGAAATATGTTACAATTAACATGCAAATAACTATAAGACAGAGAAGTTGGTTATTATAGGTTTTTAGGCATTTTTTCCCTTAAAGTTGTGAAGTTGATTTTTTTTTTGTTTTTGGTATAGGTTGGAATTTAAACTCGAGATCATTTATTAATTTGGAATTAAAAAAACGAGAGTCACAACAATTGAAACTTTTCATTGAAACGGGTTTCTTGTAAAATAGCACACTCAGATTTTCAATTACATAAGTATTTGTATACCTAAAACACAAAATATATGAAATCACTTGAAAGTTAATAAATACCATGCAATTTTTTTTCAAGAAATATGTTACAATTAACATGCAAATAACTATAAGACAGAGAAGTTTGTTATTATAGGTTTTTAGGCTTTTTTTTCCCCTTAAAGTTGTGAAGTTGAATTATTTTTTTTTTGGGTATAGGTTGGAATTTAAACTCGAGATCATTTATTAATTTGGAATAAAAAAAATGGGAGTCACAACAATTGAAACTTTTCATTGAAACGGGTTTCTTGTAAAATAGCACATTCAGATTTTCAATTACATAAGTATTTGTATACCTAAAACACAAAATATATGAAATCACTTGAAAGTTAATAAATACCGTGCAATTTTTTTTCATGAAATATGTTACAATTAACATGCAAATAACTATAAGACAGAGAAGTTGGTTATTATAGGTTCTTAGGCAATTTTTTCCTTAAAGTTGTGAAGTTGATTTTTTTTTTTTTTTGGTATAGGTTGGAATTTAAACTCGAGAGAGATCATTTATTAATTTGGAATATAAAAAAACGAGAGTCACAACAATTGAAACTTTTCATTGAAACGGGTTTCTTGTAAAATAGCACACTCAAATTTAGGTTAGGCATCATGATATAGGCCCAGAGGTTAAGCACATGTCAATTTAGCCCAATTGGGGATTGCTCACACCTTCACTCTCTTCCCGAAGTGTCACTGCATTTGGGAGCAGCAGAGAAACACAACTACAGAATTGCACTATAAGTTCATCAAGGAAAACCATACAACACAATTGTAGATTGAATTGACGTGTAGAGGAGAAGAAGAAGAAGAAGAAGAAGAAGAAGAAGAAGAAGAAGACGAAATGGTTTCTGAGAATCAAGAAACCCCTAATGGAGGACTTAACACTATTCCTCCTTCACCCTCATCCTCTCCTGGCTGGAAAAATCGAATCTTTTTTCCAACCCTCCTTGCAGGTCTCTCTCTCCCTCTCTCTCTGGCTGTGTTTGTTCTTTTAAATTCAACTAAACTTGTTTCCTCAGAAAAAAAAAAAAAAAAAACTAAGCTAAGTCTTGTATTGGAGTCTCATGCCCATGATGAATATTTACTCAGCTTTTTAGATGAAGGGTAGTTTCTATTGGTTTCAATTCTGGTGTGCTGTTTAAGGTTATATATGTGTGTGGATCAGGTGAGAGCTTTAAAGTTGATTGAAAAGTTAATTTGTTCATGAATGGTTATAGACATAATCATGTTATTAAATAACACATGACAGTTAATTTTGACCATTCTATCTTACATGAATTAGATTAGTTTCTCTAGTGCTTTCACTCGAAGCACACACACACAAACACACACACACACACATTTTGTGACCTTTGTGACTTTTTGTGATCAGGGGTTGCTGGTGCTGGAACTGGGTTAATCTCAAAGCATCGGAAAAGTCTTGGTCTTGCCAATGTTGTTGCCAGCTATGCAGCTAATTTTGCCATCGTCACTGGTTGCTATTGCGGTAAATGTTTTATTTTTGTTTTCATCAGATCATAGGCTGTTACAGCTTTGGAAATATGTTGTCTTTTACTGTATTCGGTGATGTTGTTTATGTAGATTATTTTGGTGTTCAGTGACTGAATTGATTTGCTACTGTTTTACATGGACTTGGATCCTTCTGATTTTCACATGATAGTATAATGTTTTGAGAGAAAAACAGAAACTTTTCATTGCAGATACCTGTCATTACCTGTGCAGGGATCCACTAGTTTTGCACAGATGTAGTTTGTGCCTTTCTCTGTCATAACAAAACTGCTATGCTTTTTAAGAAAACTGTGAAGTTCCAAATCTTTTTGTTTTTTGTTTTTTATTTAGCTATTAAAAGGAAAGCATGGCCTCATTGTTAGGGCGCAAATTAAAAGGACCCTTTTAAAACTTGCCAATGCACTTGTAAAGCATATTGCCCATAAAATTATGTTCTGGATGAATTGGTGTTTGTTGTAGCATTGGAGCATGGAGAGTGACCGTTGTAGCTTTTTAATCCATTTTTTCTTGTTACCTCATATATCTAAATTCACCATTAGCCTTATGGAACATTTTGTTGAAGTAGATAGGTAAAGTTGAAAGTTGCTGTGTAGGATTGAAGGAAATAACATTTGATGAATCATAAGCAACATAACTTCCTAAATATTAGATAAAATGTTTAGATGTTCTGGGAATGAAAAAAATGAGCAAAAGATGGAAGTTTCTATTAGCTGAACTTTATTATATTCTTCTGATTTCTGGCAAAGATTCTTCATTTGAAATATATTAATAAATCCAAGATTAATTTCTCCTACTCACGGAAAAATTGTCACAGAAGGCAGAGAGACTGTAGTCAGTGCGCAACAAATGTAGCTCAAGTTTGCAAGTTTGTTTCTGAAGGCTATGATCAAAGAAATATTTGGTTACAGAATGTTAATTTTATTAAATGCCTCAATGATAAAATAAGAGAGCGAGCCTTGGAGCAGCAATGAGGTTGTTTTTTATGACCGGAATGTCACAGATTTGAGTCTGGCAAATAGCCTTTTTGCACAAATGCAAGGGTAAAACTGTATACAATCGACTCTCACCCCTATCCTCGCAAGTCGGGGAGCCTTATGCACCGGGGTTTTCCTTAATGATAAAATAAACTAATAAATCATTGCATGGCATCTCCAGAGGAATTCTCCAAAGGGGGAAGGGAGAGATTGTGGGCAATTAACATTGAATGGCTTCTTGCACCAAGAAAAGGTTCAACAAATTTTAATGCTATTGAGGGTAGTACCCATCCTTTTGTTGAATTGAGGCTTTAGAGTATTCGGTTTTTTCTTTGGTTCATTTTTCAATTCCGAGGGTTCAAATTCAACTCATCTGTAAGATATATCAGTAAAAATACAAATTTAATACCATTGATTAATCTTTGTCTTAGATAACCTTTCTGTCAATGTCTATTATGAAAGTGGTGATGGAGCAGATGCAAATGAAATGAATAAATTAAGTATTTTTAAGATTGAGCTGGAATACTTGTCTAATTTGTTAGGGGCACGTGAATTTGTGACTGCATCTAGAAAAACAGGACCTGATGATCTATGGAACTCTGTAGCAGCAGGATTTGGAACTGGGGCTGTTCTAGGGCGTCTGCAAGGTTTAGTTCTACTTTTTCCCTTGTTATTCTCTTGCTGCATGCTTTTTATTTTTGTCCGTCATAAACCATGGTGAAGATTTAACTGTGTGTTGTCGACTGGATCTTTTATCGGATATGTTATATTTACTCTTGCATCTTACTTAAACTATCTTTGTATTTCTATGATCTATTTGCTGCAACTTAATTGTATCATATATCAAAAACCATATGATAGCTCTTGTCCCGCAATTTAGACTGAAATAGCCTTGAGTGATAAGATCCATAATTTTTTCATGTTCAATTTTGTTGTTCCGTTGTTAATTTCAAGTTAGTCGATCTTTTTTTTTTTTTTCCCTTTTTCCTGAACTCTTTTTCCAGTGATCCCAACATTGTCATAGAGTTTGGCAATTGTAACTAGTTGAGAACATGTTTTCATTAGGTTTGCTATGAGCTGCTCATTAAAATAGAAATTGACTGATTCTCTTATCATAAATAAATAAATGGCTGTGCTGTAATATTTTCTATTACTTACAAGGAAGAAGAGAATGCTTCATGGCTATTTCTAGTACAATTTTGCTAACTGTCTTAGATTACCACCTATTTTTCAACATCTGGCTTAAGGTAAAGTTGTTTAAGATTACCAACAAGGGTTGGTGTGAAGGTAAGCGAGTTCCACACTCGGGGTGGACCAAATTTCTATCCCTGGAGAAGTTAATTGTTGGGAGTGTCTCCTAGTCGCAATAGTGTCCAATAATTAGTCTCAAGGCCTGTGGGAATATCCTGGTCAAAGACCAAAAAGTTCTTCCAGTTTATATTTAAATTTAGAAAACTGGATTACTTGGTGGTGAAGAGTATGTAAATAATCGTTGCTTAAATTTGGTGATTGATAATCTAAAATGGTTACAAGCATTGAAAAGTTTTTTTTTTTTTTTTTTGTTAGGTGGTCAACTTGGTGCAGTTCGTTACTCTGTCATCTTTGCTGTTGTGGGGACAACAGCAGATTTTGCTATTCTGAAATTGAAAGATGTTTTGAGAGATCATAGTAAGACATTATATCAAGATATTGAGAATTCAAAGAATGGAAATTGGTTAAGACTGCCAGAATGGTTCCCAATTCGAGTACTTGATGAGGAAGCCCTTGCTGCAAAACGAGCTCAGGAAGAGCAGTTCATTGAACAGAGGGCACGGATTCGTAGCCTAAGGGAAGAAGAATCCTGAGAACTGGTTAATTTTTGTGGATGCTTGCCCTGATCTTGGAATGAGGCAACCTCCCATCCCCCTAAACATTTTGTATTTGTAATAATGTACTTCTGAAGCTGATGAGTAATTGCTTCAGCAGAGATTTTGGAAGTGTTGGGATTTAAATTCCAGTCTTCATTTGAAATTTCTGATGATTTTGCCCTTCTGTGTGTAGACATTGTCGAATAAGTACACAAAGTAAATATGAAATAGTTGAAATGATTGTTATGTTGTATTTTGAAATTTGCAATCATCATTAAATTGTTTCATATGGTACTGCTTTCTACTCAGTTAATTTAGATCTCTGGTATTCAACCCAGAGATGCAATGGGAGAAAGAAAGAAACTAACTATTTTCTCCCATAATTTTATTGGAAATATTAAAGGTGGACATTGCTTGACCACAAACTCAATGCTCAACAGAAGTAGCAGAAAAAAGCCATCACGGTGGCATGCTCCAAAATTTGCATGTTCCACGTTAATGCACTGATTTTTACAGCTATTCGTGTTTAAACAAGGCCCTGACAATGTTTTGCTCTTCATTTGACAACCTTGTGCTTCTGCAAGTTGGACATCTGCATAAGAATGAAAAAGACAAAGAGAAGAAAGTCAATAATGGTTCGGACATCCACAGAACTGTTGCAGAAAGAGAATAAGGTTTGTATCCATCAAGTGTTCAAAGAAATAGTGATATAGATCTAAGCCTCATCGTAATTAGTCGCACAGGAGGATGCCAAAGTAGGGGGATGTGTGCGGAGGCTACGATGGCCCTAAAATTCGGTAGAGTAACAGCTCTTGAAAATGTGTGATATCGAGTGTTTCTTCAATGGAAGAAGAGAGGTTTATATAGGTGAAAAAATATTCTCTAATTGTGAGAGAGAGAGAGAATTAGCCAAAAACCATTAGTCAAAACTTCACTATTACAGTGAGATATTACCTCACTAGATATTACCTCACTATCGTGTGTGTATGATGGTGAACTATGTAGAGGAGAAAGGAATCTCTTACGGACCGTTTGGTACGCAGCATTTTGTAGGATTTCCGGAAAACTGAATTTTTCTAAATTTTAAATTTTCGGATATTATCGTAAACTGAATGTAAAAATCATATTTTTGAAATTCGAGATTTCCGGACAAATAAAAATTTTTCCTGTACCAAATGCTCCCTTAACGTGAGATCTATTAGGGCCTGAATGCTCGATCCATTATGACCTGTGTAGATTGGCCTAAACACCCACAAATGTAATAAATGAAAATGTTGCTTAATTTGTTGTACCGCATGTGGATATAAGGAGGAAGGAAAGGTGGATGAAAAGAAAGAGGGTGGAGAATTTCGAGCAGAGGAAGCCATGCTTGCTAAATGTAAATATAGCAATACAATTCGTGATTGGTGCTGATTGAGTTCTATTCACAAGAATTCGACTATTCAGCTAGAAGCTAAGGGCTCATTTGGTGGACAAGATAGGATAAGGGTAGGATATGATATGTGAATGATATGGGTAGGATATGATATGGGGCTGATAAGCCTATATCATATCATGTGTTTGATGAGCACCTGATTAGCAATATGATAAGATTATGTAGAAGGAGAAAGAAAAAATAAAAAAAAAAATATAATGCAATAAATACAAATATATTAGGTAGAGTGAGGATATATTGGATAACGTGAGGATATATTGGGTAATAAATATTGGTATCTTATCCTGTTGAATCCTAACTCAGCTTCTCCCATAGGATAAGAAATCATGTATTGGATAGATAAAATGAGGCAATAGGATAAGCTAATCATATCCTATTCACCCACCAAACAAGAGATAAAAGTAGGATATGATAAGTTATCCTATCCTATCTTCCTTATCAGGTCCTCCAAACATGCCCTAAAGCTAAAAAGCACAAATAAGAAGCTAAAGCTGATTGAGTTCTATTCACAAGTAGGGCTGTGCATGGGTCAGGTCGGGTCAGGTATTTGTCCAACTCGACCCAACTTGGTTTTTATAGGTCAGGTATTTTGACCCCATGAGCTTTAATTTGATCCAAGTCAGGTCTGACTTAGTTTGGATTTTGTTGAACTAGTTCAGAACCGGGTCGGATCTGACCTGACTTGGTTTTTGAAGTGGGTCTGACTTGGTTTCTGAAGTGGGTCAAATCTGACCTGACCCGTTTTTGACTTGGTTTCCTCACAAAATTTCGTCGAAATTTCTACGTTGCAAACGACAAAAATTTCGTTACAAAATTATTTTTTCGTCGGAACACTTTTTGTCGAAAAGCGACGAAATTTTTTCTCTAATGAAAATATTTACAGAAAAAAACTTTCTATCAAAATTTAGTTTCCGTCAAAAGTTTTGATGAAAATGATTTCTTCCATCAAATGTTTTAAACGAAAAAAGAATTCTGTCCAAAATTTTGACGGAATGTTTTTCGTTCAAAATTTCGATGGGAATGTGTTCTGACAAAAATTTCGACGGAAATTGTTTCGAGGAAAATGTTTCATCCGAAACTCTCGACGAAATTTAGATTCTCTAAAGAATTTTGACAGAATATTTTTTTCGTCAAAATTTTTTATCGAAATATTTTTTGTCAAAAATTTTTACAAAAGTTTTTTACAGAAATGTGTTCTGTTGAAAATTTTGACGGAAATGTTTTTTATCAAAAAACTTGACGAAAATATTTAGTCGAAAATTTTCGATAGAAATGTGTTTTGCTAAAAATTTTGACGAAATTTTTTTTTGTCAAAAAGTTTAACGAAAATGTTTCCGTCGAAATTTGAAATCTGTAAAGAATTTTGATGAAATATTTTTCCTACAAAAAATTTCGATGCAAATGTGTTTCATCAAAAATTTTGATGAATATATTTTTTTGTGAAATATTTTGACGAAATTTAGATTCCGTAAAATAATTTGACAAAAAAATTATTCTGTCAAAAATTTTTGCGATATTTTTTTATGGAAATATTTTTCGTAAAAAATTTTTACGTAATTATTTTATGTTAAAACTTTTCTTTTAATGTAATTGTGATTTTTTTTTTCACATAATGCGTATGGGTCAAGTTTTGGGTCAATATTAAAACAAGTCAGGTCTAAAACTGACCAAATAAAAGTGGATCAGTATTTAAACCAGTTCAAAAAATATAGGTATTTATGGGTCAGGTCAAGGTCGGATCAAGGGCAGAGCAAGTGAACCAGTTTTTTTGCACACCCCTATTCACAAGAATACGACTATTCACAAGAATAGTCCTCTTTTCTTTAAGGTGGAAATTATTTTTAAGTTAAAGCTTAATTTTTTTTTTCAAAAAAGTTAAAAGTTGTTTGATGATTACAAAAAAAATTTTGCTTAAAAATCATTCAAAAACACACATTTCAAGAAAAATTTCTCTATTTCTAGATCTCTTCGTTTCAAAAAAAAGCACACAATTCAAGAAAAGTTAATTAAAGCTTAAAAAAACTCCTCCTAAGAGTTTTTGACTTTTGACTTATTTTGTCATTATAAAAAAAAAACTTTTTATTATTAAAAAAAATCTATTTGACTTAATTTTTGCTTATAAGTAATTTCTAGCTTAAAAAATAAGAGGATCAAACAGACAATAAACTTATTTATAATGGTATGTAATTGTGAAGTTGAAACAAACAACAATTCGAATATGAGTTTCCGTCCATGTATAAAGAAATCCTATGTTGAAGATATGGGGATTGGTTTTTTCGCAATAGTTTTATTAATCCTAGGCATGTGATATAATATAATTCATTGGATGCGTTGTAATGTAATTTTTTGGGGTATTTAAATATACTCTTATAAACTATACTTGGTCAGTGAGTCATCCATTCAACTTAAAACTGATGAGTGGGCACATATAGAGTTGAAAACAAAGAAATAGGATTAGTTTATTTTTATTTAATTTTTGAGATAGGATATTGTTATTAGGGTAAAGGATTTCTCCGGTCAATGGAGGGCTATATTAGTCTTTATCATTATAATTTTTTAATCTCATAACCCAAAATAACGTCGTTTTGAGCGTACTGGAAATAACTTTTTATCTCCAGGAGAAATACTTTTCCCTTAATGTTATTGCCAATATATATCACTACCAATTTTTATCATTAGATCGATTATGTTGATCCAACGGTTCTGATTTAACTTTCTAAAAACTTTTTTTCTTCTCCCTATATTTAATACTTTCTATTTATTTTCACCTTTGTATGGGGAATCATAATCATACAAAAGTGAAAATAAATATAACGTTCGATCAACATAATCAATCTAACGGTGAAACAAATTAGTAGTGACATTGGTAATAACACTAATTGATAATAACAATATCCTATCTCTTAATTTTTATAGGCTACAGTACAATTTATTCTCTTGAACTTTATTCTTATTTTAAATTGCTGCTTTATATTTTTAATTGTTTCAATTAATCTCTTGTACTTTGTGATAGTAACAAATTAACATATATGTTAAAATTTTACATCCCCCGACTCCCTAATTTTATTATCCTTCCTAAATTTGCATTTCACACACTTCTGCATAGTTTCTTCTCCTTCTCTTCTACATTCTCCATGAATCTCCCTTATATCAGTGTGCACGTCGGAGAATAGCCACGGTCACCTGAATCACCTGAGCTATCGTCGCCAATGTAAGTTCAGTTACCGACTCTACTTTCTCTACGGTATTCAATATGTGTACGAGTTTAGGTTTTTTTCTCCCAATTTTTGGGTTAGGATATTGATATAATAGAATGTGTTTTTCCTTCCCTCATTGTTATCATTTACCGCTAATTTTGCTTATGTTATGGATGAGGACTGAAAAAGAAAACTAAAAAGAAATTACGGAAGGTATAGACAAAAGTAATTAGACTAAAATTGAATGAGAGGCTTTTGTACTTTTTCTCATATATCCTAGCTACAAGCTAAATGTAACCTTTAATTCAATTTTATAACTTATTCATTTATTCCATCATTGGAAAAAAAGGAAAGGAGACGAGGAAGTTTTGGATACGAAAACTCAAACAAGAACAATGTGCTTGTTGAGATATATAAACTTATTAATGTAGTCTCACCTAAAAGCTTAAGTTTTTGTGTTGAATTGGTTCTTTACATGGTATCAGAGCCTCGTGTCCCGGGTTCGAACATCTCCGTCCCCCACTTTCTCTTGTGAAATTTTCTTAGCACAGGTAGATGGGCCTGTACATTATCCACCCTTCAATCTCAGTGGACTCTCATGTGAGGGGGCGTGTTGAGATATATAAACCTATTAATGTAACCTCACTTAACAACTTAAGCTTTTGGGTTGAATTGGTTCCTTAGAGTGCTTTTGCAAAATCAATGTTCCATAATGAATATTATGTATCGTATTTTGCTTGTGGATATACACAGATCGAATTCGTGTTAACGCAACATATAAATTTGGCGTTTATGTCAAGTGGAGGTATAAAAGTAATTTTTGTTACATTCTAATCCTAGCCCATTAAATTTACATTGCTATTCGCTTTGATTGCCAGAAAATAAGCAACTAATATTATTTTGTAAAATATAAATAATTAATTCAATTTAAAAGTTTAAGCTATTAGATGTGATTATATTAATGGTTTTTATATTTCTATAATATGCCCATCACACGAGAGTTCAATATTGGATTTGAAGGATGAATGATACATCAGGCTCAGTCTATTTGTGTTAAAAAAATTTCATAATATTTAATTATTTTTATTAATAAAGTAAAAACGGTGGGAATCGAATTCGTGATTACTTAATCACATGAGCTCTTCGCAGCATTTTTAACATGTAGCTACATTTTTAGAAAATGTTTTTGTTTAATTAATAATGAATAAAAATTAAATGTCAATGTTTTTAAAATAGTTAATTCTAGATAAAAATGTCCTTAAAATATTAGACAGCAAGGCGTGAGAGAAAATTTGCCATAAGGTTACTATTGTTATTAGCAACACTGTTTTATTAGGTTGTAGTATTAATTCTCAACTGGATGTGTAATTCATAAAGTGTTTAAAGTTTTATTGTTGAAAGACACACACAAGTGAGATCCGGATCTGTGACAGTCACTGCAGAGATGCAATGGGAGAAAGAAACAAACAACAATTTCTTATCCCATTATTTTGTTGGAAATTAATATTAAAGGTGGACATTGCTTGATCAGAAGTTCACTGCTCAACAATTGAAGTAGCAGAAACAAACAGAACTAGTGCCATCACGGTGACAAGCTCCGTTTTTTGCACGTTCCACGTGGATGCACTGATTTTTGCAGCTTCCATCCTTTGAACAAGGCCCTGAGAATGTATTGCTACGCCTTTGACATGTTTTTGCTTCGGCAAGTTGGACCTCTGCATTAAAATGAAAAACACAAACAAAAGAAAGTCAATAAATATAATAGAAGATTAAACTAGATTAATAGGTTGATTAATTTGTTGTACCCGATGTGGAGATAAATAGGAAGGCAAGGCACAGGAGCAGAAAGATGGTGGAGAATTTATGATCAGCAGAGGAAGCCATGCTTCCTAAATGTAAATAGGACAATTGGTGTTAATTGAGTTCTACTCTCAAGGATAGGACTTAATCCAATTTATAATGGTTGGTAGTTGTGATGTTGTAAGAAACATTAATCTTTTTTTTTTTTAATACGTAAATATAATCATTTGAGCATATACTCCATATTCCCTCATGGTGGCTTTGGCTCCATCGATGCTTCTCCCCTTTTTATCGTGATCATCGGAGCATATAACAGGTTTTTCTGTTTGTATTTGGTATAAATTGTCGCACATCTCTTGTCTTGGTCCATTCCTTATGGTGGAATAGCTATTTCTAGTTGATATTCCCAATATTGGATTATTGTTTTTACTTCATGGATTTGTTCTTGGCTTGCTTCATTGCATTTGACGGAATAATTATTTCTAATTATAATCGCAATACCGGATTTTTGTTACTTCCAATCAATCGGTGGATCGGGAATGTTGAACCGAAGGCTAATAATTGTATCTAGGAATACTACTCTCGCCAGAGTGTATGCAAGAGACATCGTAAATGATATAGATCACTGTGCACGAATGGTAAAAGAGTATACGGAGTGTGTACACATTGACAATTAAGAGAGTATGGAGCCAAAAGTGTGTACCCAATAAGCTTAACCCTTTATTTATACCCAATTTGCGTGTAGGTGAGGAGTCCTGATCAGAGTCGAACCATTAGGGGATATAATAAGTGGTTTATCGCTTCTCCCTTAGTGATAGGATAGAGGGCCTATCCTTATTTCTTTAGTCGATCACTTATTGTTAGTAATACTTCTTGTTGGGAACACCCCGTATATATCCGAATTGTTATCCTATTACGATATTAAGCACAACTCAATTAAATGCGGAAGCTAAAATAAAATCAGTTATTCGACATGCCAGATTATTTTTTTCTTATTAACATAACAATATAAAATCTATCTATATCCTTATGTAATTGCAAAAACACAAATAAAAATCTTGAAATGCCTCAATATCATAAATAAATACTAAGTCATGAAGCTACATCGCGTAGTCATGACCAACGTCCATATCTCATGGCGTAAACAAAACATATATGTTCAACAATAACACAAATGCATGGACAACCCTTATGCTCACAACAAACATAACATAAGCATAATAGTCGTATCTCAGGTACAATAGTCATGTCCAAGTGGTATAGATAAAGCATGCGTATAAATCAACTCTGCTCCGGCCTCTTGCCTCAAGAAGCATACATCCCATGGACGTCTACACCTGAAAATATGCCCCACACGGGGTGAGATCTCTAAAAAGAAATCTCAGTAAGCAAAGGTTCTCGAAGAGTTCCTCTGCCCCAAGCTCACTTTGGTATAACAGTTCAAATATAACAGTTCAACAATAATAGCATAATCACATGATGCAGCAACATATATATATCATGTGTGCTAACAAGTCTGCTGGCCAGAGAACCATGGTTTACGCACGTCTGCTACACGCATAAAAAGCATAAGACATCTACCTTATACCCACACTCAGGGATTACCATCTTGTGTAGCTCCACACTACACTCAAGGATTACCATCTTGTGTGTAATACACCACATAACATACATATATAAGAGTGCATCATTTCATCATCTCAAATAACAGATAAGCATTTATACCACATAAAACTACCATCCCCCTCTTAGGCTTTGTTTGGGAGTTGATTTTAGGAGGGGAAGGAAAGGAAATGGAGGGTTTTAGTAAGTCTTTCCCTTGTTTGTGAGTTTAAAAAAAGGAAGGGAAGAATTTGAAGATTTTTACTAAACCCTCCAAAACCCTCTTTCTTCTCAAAATTAAAGTTCCCCCAATTTGGAGGATTTGAGGGGGAAAATATTAAAAATTACTTATCTACCCTTAGCATTAGAATGTTAAAACTACATAATTGTGAATCATTTTTAAATGCGATATTATAAGAAAAGTCTCAAATACCGACATAATTTATTAACGAAAAATATTTCGTCAAAAATAGTGATGAAATTTTTGATGACAATCATATACATCAAAAAATTTCCGTCAAAATTAGAGACGGAACTAGATTTTGCCATATCACTAACATAAATTATGTACGAAAAAAAAATCCAGTCAAAATTATTGATATAATATAAATTACGTCAAAACTTTTAACGAAAATATTTCCATCCAAAATTTTGACGAAATACATTTCCAATGAAAAGTTTCGACGTAAAATTATTACGTCGAAATTTTGAACAGAAAATGTTCCGTCAAAATTTTGACAGAATTGTTTTTTCGTTTAAAACATTTGATGGAGGAAATCATTTTCGTCAAAACTTTTGATGGAAACTAAATTTCGTCGAAAGTTTCAATAGAAAATTTAATTTTGTAAAAAAATTTCATCGGTTGAAAAATTCCCTCGCTTTTCGACGAAAAGTATTCCAATGAAAAAAATAAATTTGTGATGAAAATTTCATCGTTTGCAACGTAGAAATTTCATCGAATATATGATCTTTTTTGGTGTTGTGAAAAGTACATAAATAATTTTGTTAGAAATTTTAAATTTAATTTAATTTGTAAAATATAATAATTATATTAATTTTAAAAAAGGATAAAATGATAAAAATATCTCATTAACTCTCAATTTTCCTCTTTTACCATTTTTTTAACTCTCAAACAAGGGAAAGGAATACCCTTCAATTTCCTTCCCTTCATTCCCCTTCTCTCCAAACTCCAAAACAAAGCCTTAGAGTATGGTAGAACAAATGAGGATTAACCCTGAGAACATGGAACTTACCTGTCAAGTAGTATACTCAAGCTTAAAATCCAAACAACAGTCCACAAGTCACAAAACAGCAGGATGAAGGTCTGTTTATAACAAAAATATCATAAATACTGCAGGCTTTCCTCAAAGCCTTAAGCATTAAACCGGGTTTGCTCTTTTTAAAACTTTAATTGCAAATATTTACCAAAAAATTCAAAGATTTTAATATGTTAATCTAGACATCTCCAGCTTTACAACCACATATTATATGTCTCAATCGGAGTTGTATAACTCCAGTTATGTTTTACGCAAAGTGACTACTGCAAACGAAATTTCCAGCAACCAAAATGCGACTTTAAATTGACACTGCGATCAAACCACTTATCCAATGGCAACGAAATTTTACATAGTTGTATCCCTATGAGTTAGCTTCACATAGGTCTAAACGGAACTCAATTTGGAGCTCTGTAGCTCAAGATATCAAATTTTTACTAAAACAGGTTTGTTGCTATCCAGACCAAAATATCGGGATATTGCCAAAGAAATATCGGGATATCGATATCCGGATATCATATCGGGATATTAATATCCAGATATTTTTGGAGGGATATCCGTATATCAATATCCGGATATTGATTTTCCAATATCGGGATATTTTGCGACAGTTTTCCAAAAATGCATTTTTTTTAAGAGTTTTTCCTACAAGGTTCAATTTTTATCACTTCCAGACATTCAAGCATGCATTTTTAAACACATTTAAGCTAATGATCATCTTGGTTATTTATTATCTTCATTTAACATACCAAAACTCAATCTTTTACATAAAAACTCAAGAACAAAGGTGTAGAAATATACCCCAAAACCTTGCAAACAGAAACTAAGGGTCTTTAAGGTTGGAAAATTCTCTTCCAGATTCTGAATAAAGAAGAGTACGAATTTAAGCTTCCAAGCTTGGCCCTTTCTTCACAAAGATAGCTTCTTGGTGATGACAGGTAGGTGTACAATGGCCCAAACCAACCAAAACAATGATGGAAGCTCTCAAACTCCCCAAGTCAGAATTAAAGACACTCAAGAATGGATTTTTATCCTTTAAGATGTTAGTTTTCAAGGGTTCAAGGTGATAGTGTGGAAGGAAGATGAAGAAATGTGGAGTCTTGGTTAGATTTTCATGAAGAAATGTTTAAGTCTTCATGGAGAGTGAGAGGTGGCAGCCATGAAATTCACGTAGCAGCTGTGTAGAAATGACCTAGGTTTATGTGCATTTTCTATTTATAGATGCACACACTTAAACTAACAGTATTAGTTTAATTAGTTTGCTCTTTGTTTAACTTTGAAATTTTATATTCTTAACCTAGATATTTTTCTAGGATTTGTCATATTTTTAATATAATTTTCACAGCACTTTGTCGGTACGCATTTTTACGTATCCGGTATCAGTTCTGACGTCAATTCTCATTATTTTGACTCCAAACTTGATACACCAGTCCTATATATTATTCTAGGAATATATACATACTCTTTATAATTTTTTGGTATACTTCATCAGTACGCACTTATACCGTGAAGTAGAACCGGTATCTGCACTTTTCGTCATAAAAGCGACTTTCAGCATTATTAAGCCCTTACTATGATTATTTAAGTCTTCCCATATTTATTCAAGGTAAATTATGGAATTATTCTTTAATTTCATAATTAAGTTATTTAAATTCCTAATTTAATGGTGCAGGTTCTTACACAAGTCACCAAGGAAAACGTTCCAACTCATCCAAGTAATAATTGGGAATATAATGACCCGAGATATCATTCCATAGAGAACGTATTGTTAATATAAATATTAAACTGTATAAAAATAAAAATGAATTTGAAAAAAATAGAAATGAACTATTCTCTGCGTATCGTTCGTAGCTATCACAATGGTGTTCTCATTTTGACAAATAGTTCAGATTGCTTCAAACAATTTCTCGTATTGTTATATATTTTCATTCCATCCTTCGGAATGAGGAACGACAAATCGTACGAATAATTGGTTGTATAAATGTATAACACCAAGAGAGAATGCAATAATTCAAAGATTCTTTTTGCTTTTCTTTCAAATGAAATCCGGAACAACACAACACAACCTCTTTTTGCTTGAGAATACCACTATTGTTGGTGATGCTTGATTGTATCTCTAGTGAAAGACTATGGAAAGTTGACTCTTTGTAATCTTTCTTTTGACATAGTGAGATATTTTTTGGGCTAGTGTCTTGTGATTTTTACATC